AGAAAGCAATGGAGAACCCTGGACCACCTTCTGTTTGTGTCCTCATTGCAAAACAACTGACAAAAAGTGATGTGATTTTTCCTGACAGAACTGCAGGAATATTAAAACTTTTCACTCACAATTATCCAACCATCCATTATTGTGACTCATTAACAAGTCAGGTACTGTAAATAATGCATGCCCACATAATTCAAACAGCATCATTTTTATTACAAAAATCCTGCTCACCACTGACTTTGAACTTATGATAATAAGTCCTATGTTTTCCATATCATACAACAAGCAATAAATACATTTTGACTGTGTGCTTGGGAAAAATAGGATGATTGACACTAACAAAAATGTTAATTTTTTTCTGTTTTTTATTTTCTCAACAAAAAAAGTAACTCTGTAAATGGAAGATACTTTCCATAGTGGAATCTTTACCACAACAGACTAATGCTGACTGACAATAATATCTAATATCGTATTATCTAACTGCCAATGGTTTGGAGTAAAAAAAAGAAAAGAATCAACTTTCATCGACAAAATGAAAGTCCTTGGCAAATTTAAAATTGTGGTTGATTTTACTTAACCGGTAACCATATTGTTCAACTTCTGTTAGAGTCATAGAAACCAAAATCTCAACATTGGCCTGATGCTGACATAGATGGACGGGATTTTAGATAGAGGTACCTTGGGGAATTGTGGACCTACTGAAAATTGTTCACTATAAACAGAGCAAGCAATGGAGAGAAATAGTTTTGTTACTACTTGTTGTATTAAAACTAGTTAAAGTTAAAACAACTTCAGGTATCAGCAACACATGAAATACAATCCAGGAAGTCCAGTTTGAGTAACCTATCTGGGAATTTGAATCCGTATCTAATGCCAAAACATTGCACAGCATTTAGTAATTTTACATGTTATAACAGTAGCAACCATTTTATAATTCGTTCGAGTTAATAATTGCGAGTTAAGAAATACATCTTTCACAAACTAATCCACCATGAATGTGTGCTTGCATGTATTCGATTGGGAGACACAGCTCCTTGCCAGATGTTGCGTTATGAGTTTTTTCATGCAGGGGCAGAGTTGGTCTGAACGAGATTTTAATCATAATAAACACATCCTAATGATGCATCCTTTTACATATGGTAAAGATTGATGACTGAGATGTGTTTTTGAACGCAAACAGGAAGGCAGGAAAGCGGTCGAAAGAATTGGCTGACATTTACCCCACTTTATAGACAATAAAATGACTGTACATAGAGAATTTATTAATTATTAGGTGATAAAGTGACAATAATAATCATAATGATGAGCTAGAAAGTACACAACACAGTATCAACAAAACACTCAAAGTTTAAGAACATTACAGACGATGTAACTGTAAACTAACATACTATAATAAAAGCTAAAGAATGATGAGAAATGTAGTTTCCACAAACACATTCACGTGAACATAAGTGTGAACACACACATGCAGAACCTAAACCAAACCAATAGGATTAATGTTGTAACATGGATTTTTTTGTGGTAGCTGCTTGCGATGACCCTCTCTCATTTTCATTGTCCATCTGTCTCCTCCATTTTTTCCTCCCAGCTACCCATTCTCCCTTCCCCTCCAATTCTCCAACAACTTTTGTTCCTTTACCCTGTGTGAGTTCTGCAGAGGAAACAATGTACCATAGCACATTATTCTGGTACCATGATGAATGGGGAGAATCCGTGCCTGTTGACTGTGGCCTTGAGATAAAGAATAAGCAAATGAAACTGCCTGCCTGCCTCGCAGCACCCTCGAGTCCACTGCCACCATTTCTCATGCTAATTTGATTGAGAACGCCCGATCAGCACATACTCCTCGACCCACACACCTTTGCTCCAAGGGAGTTACTGAGGGGGGAGAGCAGAGGATAGAGGATGGCATCATGGAAGGCAGTAATAACAATATATCTCCAGGATGCCTGTCTCGGTGTATAATGTTCAAGTTAGGCCCACTGTGGGTAGTTTGCATCAAAGTGAAATGTGGTACCGCAGGAGAGGGCAGGACAGAACGAGTCACAGCAAGGAAAAGAGACAAAGAATATCGAGATAAAAAAGGTGAGGTGGGGATAGACGAGAAGATGACAGGGATGTATGAGGCATTCAGAGGGGGGGCACTAGTGATGGAAGGCCAGTGGATGGGAGAGGGACGAAAGGATGATGAGAAAAAAGTACAAGAGAGGAGAAAATAGGCAAGTACTTAACAATCCTGGTTTGTGTTCCCACACTGCAATTAATGTGGAGCCAGAAGGACAGCCTACTCCTTTCTGCAGTAAAACAAAACCAGGATTGATGAGAGTGTCTGTAGAGCATAAGTGACTGCCTGTATACGGGCTCGCTGGGAGCATCGAGATAGAGAAGAGAAGAAAGAACAGTTGGATTGAGAGAGTAGGAATGTGGCACTTAAGTGGAGAGAAAGACACAAACGGAGGGACAGATTGAGATAAAGATTTGAGGAGGGGGGTATGTGTGAGTTTGTGCAAAACACACGGAGAGCAGTAGCAGCAGACAATTGCGAAAGAAGATAAATTGGGACAGAGCTGCTCTTTTGATGGCCATTTTTTTCCGAATCTCCTTGGTAGCAATTGTATGGGTTTCATTCATTAGACCGCATGCAATGAAAAACAAGGAGAGAAATATTGCCAGTCAGCAGCCAGAGCGCGGCTCTACTTTTTCCTCTTGGGCGATATTTCACCTGGCTTGACCTTCTCAAGTCAACAAACCAAGTGTTAATCATTGAGAAAAACAATGTAAATTAATTTCCTCTTTTGTCCGGCTGCTCGTTGCTGTGTCATTAAACCTTTACTGCATCATGGATTTGGTCTCTAGGGAAAGCTATGTACTGTAAATTACTGTAGGTCAGTATTGCTTGATTGGACAGGAACAATGTGAGGAATATCTTCAGATTCTCCACTTACATAAATTACTATTTTGCATATATATATGATATATATTCAGTATCTGTCATGTTTTGGATAACTAAATCTAAACCTAATACCCTCCTTCATTAAACCTTTACATACAGTACTACATATACAACAGTATGTGGGTTAAACTGTCCAGTATATGCACAGTACAGGGCGGTTAAGAAGCAGAACAAACGAGCCTTTAACATGGATCCAGGCTGTTTCACACCCCTCAAGGTCAGCTATATTTATCCATTATTTACAGAACAGCTCACACGTAACATTGAAAAACACAAAATGATGGCTGTGCCATTAGAACAAAAACACACAAAAAGGGAAGGAAAACAGAGGGTGAAAAATAGCTGAGTATCAGTTTTCCATGGTTGTCAGCACTGCGATTAATAGGAGCCATTTCACCATAATGAGCTGTTAAGCGTTAGCTGCCAAAAAGCCTCTTCGTTTGCCTTTGAGTCTCAGAATACTTTGTCCAATTATAAAAGCTCTCTCTGTCTCTTGCATTCCTGTCACTGTCAGCGCTGGAGCACCTGCGTGAAGGCTGTCTGATTTCAGCTCTTGTTAGACAACATAATCAGCACCTGAAACAATCATCTGGAGATGAGGTTGATAATGATATCGTACTGTCATTATTACACGTGTAGCTGTTTTGTGACTCAAGCAGATAACTTTCAGCACTATGCTCCCAGCACCTGGTTTAATGGACACCATTATGGGCTGTGTGACATATTTGCCTCAAACATGAGAAGCAATAAAAAGTTTAAAAGAATAAGTGCTGTCCTGGGGTTGTTTTTCATGGGCAACTCAAGGAATCTTTACTGGCCTACGAGGCTGTGAAAACCTTTTCCCCAAAAGCTGCAGGGAGTTCTCAGTAACCAAACTTTCAGCGAATGCAGAGCATATATAAATCTAATACTGCCATTAAATATTGCTAAAGGGGACGTCCCCTTTGCTATGTATGACAAGATATAATACATTTTTTCAGAGTAATAACGATTTAGAGATTCATTTATGAAGTCAGAACATTAATAAATAAATGGAACTGTGGCCAGGACCAAAACAAAAACGAGGTGCTACATCATAGAAATGTATGATATTCAGACTGGGTGGTAAAATATGAACTAGACAAAATATTGTCTTGCTTTTTGTGAGGTGTCAAATTTTGTAAATTAAACTGTGCTTGTAACCTAACTCCACAGTGTCAGATTCAGATCATGAAAAACTGACATGGCTCAAGAAAACATCTTATATTCTTCTTATTCGTGAGAAAAATCCTTTGGTCAGGTTAAATGGGGGCAATTCAGCAGCAAGAAAATTATGACATATAGCTTTAATTAGCAGAAGCTGTGAATAGATCCCTGTCAGGGGGCGAGTGAAGAAAATGTATCTGAACTGCAAACCTGAAACCTAAGATTATGAAAATAAATACATTTTTCATCAGTCTCAGTAAGATCAGTCAGCTGTCTTTCCTCAATCCACCTGAAAATCACTGCTATTGTGATTTCAAACCTCAAACCCAATAAACAAACATTTACATTAACAGCAGTTGGGTATATCAATTTACAGTAAACACAAAATTATTGATATCCAAAAAATTTTGTTTAGTTATTTGTAACTCTGTCCTTGTGAGGTTTTGAACAATTCTATACACTAATGAGAAGAAGAAGCTATTGAAAACAACAAACAGAAAGCCAATTGTTTATCACTGCTAAGGGTGATAAATGGAATTCAGTCTCCATAACAAACAGTGAGTATAGAGAACTATTGGATCATCTGTTTTTGTCTTTTGGTGTGAAGTTACCACAGTTGCCTGCACGCAGTACTGAAGCATCTCAGCCACTATGTGTGTGTGAGAAACAATGTGTGTGTGGGAGGATGTGTATACTGTATGTGTGTTACACTTTCTAAATGTGTGTGGATACTTAAGTGTGCAGATACTGTACAGCAGATGTTTTTTTTTTCTGTGTGAGTCTGTGTGTGTGTGTGTGTGTGTGTGTGTGTGTGGTGTGTGTGTGTGTGTGTGTGTGTGTGTGTGTGTGTGTGTGTGTGTCCTACCAGCATAGGGGACTGGGGCATCCTTGTCTAGGGCTACCAGCGGAGGGTCCAGGAGCACCGTGTCCATGTTCTCTGTGATCACACCATGGTAAGATGTCTCTATCCACGGTTTGTGCTTGTTGACTGAAAAGGAAAAAGAGAAGAAATGCAATTAATGCTACTGTCTTCCTTTGTCATTTTGTAATTGCAATTAAGTTGAATGCACATTTCAGTCTATAGCATTATTGTGAGGATCATTACTGTAATTTACATGCTTTGTTGTTTTTAACCATATCTAGAGTCACTTCAAGAGGACAGAAAACCACAAAGCAGAAGACGAGGAAACTTCCACTTTTTCAAAAGACTATGTTTGCTTGTGATCATGTTGGTGGTTTGTGATTGATTGTTTAGGTTTTTACAAATGACAGGAGGACTAATGGAAGTCCAAGGGTGAACAATGTGATGTTATATTGATGTTTGTTGTATAGCTTTACATCTATGATTGTCTTGCTTTGAAAAGGGCTCTGTGTTTTCTAACAAAGCACTACCGAGAGCCACAAACAACACAGTTCCTCAGTTTGAGAAGAGAAGAGAAGAACTTTTTTCCCTTTTCCGTCTAGTGGGTATACACTGTATATACTCCTCGTCTCTAGTACGTCTCTGTCGCCCTGGGGAGGCTGTAGACAGCAATGCATCCCCTCACCAATGGCTACACTGTCAATTGTGCTCTTTGGGGCACTGTTCACCACAGTACCACAGTCAAGGACTGAACCAGGTCTTTTTATACCTTGATATAGTTGGGTAAACATCCGGCTCACAACAGTCCAGAAAATCTTTAAAAACCTTATTATATCTATAAGCACTTATTTTAGTGAGAGTCCTGAGCTGTAAGCTTAACCAAGACATACTGAAACTACATCCAAGTCTACGTTAAGCTCTTTGTTTTGACCCCTACATCTTTTTTGTTTTAAATATATATTTTTTAAATTCTTTTTGCCCCTTTCATTAGATAAGAGAGCTGAGGATAGACAGGAGATGGGGGAGAGATAGCTTGACATGCAGCAAAGGGCCACAGGTTGGATTCATGACCAATGCAGCGTTGGTACATGGGGCGCCAGTTCTACCAGATGAGCTATAAGGGTGCACCTCTGCATCTTTAACCAGCACCATCACCCTTTTCTGTAGTGCATTCTCATTGTTTCTTTTGATCTCTTTCCCTCCCTCTCTCTGTTTCTGCCTCTCTGCTAGTGCTCTACAAAATGGAGAACTCAACCAGCATGCCACAGTTGTGACTGAAAGGTCAGGAGGATGAGCTGAGATTAATGCAGATCACCATCACACATAGTTACTGACACCGTAAATTAAACTTCCTCCCACTTTCTCACAGCAGGATCTCACAAGTAGATAGAGACCAATGAAAGCCACAGGAACAACCATATGTTCAAGTGCACTTTTGTGTACACACACACACACACACACACACACACGCCACACACACACACACACACACACACACACACACACACACACACACACACAAACACACGCAAGTATCTCTGGTGTACAAGTGTCACTCTTTGCGGGGAGCTGGGATGTCAACTTGACCTTTCAATCCACTGAAGAGGAACGCTTTGTCTCATGCCAGTGAGCAGATGACATGTCCAGCTGGCAGCGATTTAAAATGCATCAAACTGTTCCTAAAACCTTCTCACAGCTTTTCATCTGTTTGGATGAATTACAGTAGTTTTGTCCTACTATTCCATTTTCTCTTCCGCTTGTTGCCACACTGAGTTCAGAGAATGGGGTCAAAGTAAAAAAAAAAAAGGATATTTTTTCAAAGCAACAAAAATATTGTGAAGAAATGTAACTTGGCAGCTTATTATTAATTGTGAAAACACCTTATCATCATAGACCATACATTTAAAAAAAAATAAAAATTCCCTTCATTTTAAGTGTTGTTTTATTGGCTTTAATGACATAAAACACAATAAACTGCTAAGATGAAATATCATTAACAAAATGTTAAAGTGTGTCACTTCTCATTCATGATTCTACTTCCCTTCTACTCCTACAATTCACTGACAGAGACTGATGACTACTGATCATTCTCAATGGGACTCTTGCCCTGCTGAGACCAGAGAAGAGAGTGGATTATAGGGAGTGAAAGAGAACCACAAGGGAAGACATTATTCATATAAGGAGTCTCATCTTGTGCTCATGCAGGAGATAGAAAGCACTGCAGCAAACAGCATGACTCTGCTCTGCTGGAGAGAGAGACGAGTGGAGGCCTGTCTTTGAGTGGTGTTCAGGCATCTTTACACCTGGAACATTTCACTTGTAACTGTGCATTAAAGCTTTTATGGTGTATTGTAGATACAGCTTTACCCTAGTACACTAGTACTTACAGCTTTCTAAGTAAGATTTCCACCCAAAAGACGACATGAAAACAGACAATAAAAAGGGCGTTATTTAAGTGAGTTTTCATCACTATGTGCTTGTACTTGCTAGTGTAAATACATATTAATCCATCTTGCTCGCATAGCGTTTCATTTACATTTGAAGATGTCTTTACTAAGTCTAATAGCAGCACACAGCTAGTGCAGTTTACTCATGGATGGCAGGTTCAATTTCTGGCTCAAGGTCTTACATTTATCCCAAACAAATTGGGTGGTGGTTGAGGTGGCAGAGCTGTGCCTCTTTAAAGGGAGTCTAATATAAGAGCTGTTTTGTAGAAAGAGCACACATCAGACCATGGAAATGGGCTATTTCCAAAATGGCTTTCATGACATGTAGTACTGTAAAGCCATTAGTGATGCATTTAAGGTATTCATCCTTGACACCCTTGTACTGGGCCGCAGCAACGAAATAAAAATTGAGGCAAGCTTGAATTCAAGGAAAAAAAAACCCCGCCAGGAGCAGCTGTCTAGACTAAGTCTGCCCTGCTATGAAATATACCATTCATTCAGCAGTTTTCCATAAGATCATCTCTGAAACTTAAACAAAGCCATGCTAGCAGCTCTGTGAAGTTGTACTAAGTGACAGCTGTGTTTATTTTGTTTTGTTTTGTTTTTTTAAACCTTTATTTGATAGAGACAGCCGAAAATAGACAGGAAAGGGGGATAGAGAGAGAGGGGATGACACGCAGCAAAGGGCCGCAGGTCGGACCCAAACCCTGGGCCGCTGCAGCAAGAACCCAGCCCCGGCACATGGGTCGCCAGCTCCACCCACTGAGCTAACCAGGCGCCCGTGACAGCTGTGTTTTGAGCTAAATGCTCATGTCAACATGCTAACATATTCAAAATAACAATGCTAACATGCTGATGTTTGGCAGGAGTAATGTTTATCTTAGTTCAGCATGTTAGCATGCTAACATGTTCTACTAAACCAATAGGACAATTGAGTGATAAAGATTTATGACCTTTATCATTATGGTTCATCTTCTGGGGAACGTGAATGCCTGTACAAAATTTCATGTTGATCCAAGTGATGGTTAATGATGTACTTCGGTCTGGACCAGAGTGATGGATTGAGAAACTGACAGACAGACATTGCCATCTATAAAGCCATGCCCCTAGCATGGCTAATAAAAAACATTGTAGCATGTGGTTCCTTCTTTAATAAGGTTACAAGTGTCATTGATGGCAATATGCATGGCGTCGTTGGCCATTTCCTAAGGAACATCTGCAGCCATTACAGCATCAGACTGCACATTATGAAGGACTAATTCACTTAGTAGAATAAACAGTCTAAAAGTGGATCTAGTATAGCACTGGATAAAATCTGATTTGACAGTAATATGAAAACAGAAATCCAGAAACAAGATAGTGCTTTCCTGTAAATAACATTACTGCAGTGGATTGTCAACTTGTCCATCCTGGTACTGAAATCAAAATATCTGTTAGTGTCTTCCCCTGGGACTGAGGCTCAAGAAAACATATTACTGTAAGGACACAGCTGGTTAATAATCTATATTTAATTTGTCCCTGCTCATAATCTAAGAGACACTGCATTACTGTTATATGTATTGATCAATTTAAGTCATGTCAAATCCATTTATTATTAGACTTATTTGATTACAATGAAGTTGCGGTGGAATAGCGCAACCCCTCCATAGACCAAGGCAAGGATAATAACAACACCACCAACAAGTAATAACAACGTGGAGAAGCAAAAGCAGACGAAGAGAAAAGGATGAAGAAGAAACCCTTGAAACACTGGATAAAAAGAAGAGGCAGTGGATAAAATGAAAAGGGATAGAAAAAGAGAACTTCACCTCAAATAATATCCTGTCTCTAAATGTATTGAGAAGAGATTTAAAAGATGTTCGGAAAGTCTGTCTTATTTTCTCAGATATAGCAGGCCAAAGCTGATAGGCCTCCTTTAGATTTAACCCTATGGAATAACCAGGAACGTCTTGTCCGAGCATCCAAACTAGCAAACTGGGTCATACTTTGTAACCTGCACAGAGAAACCAGTACAAATGTGGCAGAAAGTCTCTACGCTTTCAATGCAAATTTCATGAGGCACTTGACAATCTATACAGAATTTAGAGGTTCTTTAATGCAGTGTAAATCATAAATACACCTCACCGGGAGTACAGCACCACTAGCCACCAAGAGGGGAGAGTGAGATAATGTGCTCTAGGCACATGATAAAAATATTAGTGAGGAGGATAAAAGAAGTGAAGAGGATCAGTAATGGGGAACTACGAATAGAAAAATAAATGAAAAAAACAATCCCACGGGATGCATCAACAGTTTCAGTAACATGAAAGAATAATGATAAAACCTCAGTGCTATTGAAAGTTGAGCAAGCAGACTGAGCAATGACGAATGTACAAAAGTAGATCATAGGATGGTGAATGTGTGAGGACATGACGCAAAATGTGAAATAATATCATTAATAATGTGAATTAAAGGAGGGTGAATGAAAGGGTTAACAGAGGAGAGTAACAGAGGGAGGGAAGATAAGAGCTGGAGGCGGTGGCATGAGAAGGGTGGGTGGGTTGAGGTGGGAGAGATAATAGAGGAGGGGAGACAGCGAGAAATTGGGGCAATTGATTGTAGAAGAGACGATAGGCATAGTTAGCACTTCCTGTATAAAATATAAGCTACTGTCTACAAACCCCCCACTGACCCCACAAA